ATATGTTCTTATAATTGTTTGTATTTCCTTGGTGTTGGTTGTGATCTCTCCTCTTTCATTCATGATTTTGTTGATTTGGGTCATTTCTCTTTTCTTTTTGATCAGTCTGGCCAGGGGTTTATCAATCTTGTTCATTCTTTCAAAGAACCAGCTCCTAGTTTCGTTGATCTGTTCTACTGTTCTTTTGGTTTCTAGTTCATTGATTTCTGCTCTCATCTTTATGATTTCTCTTCTCCTGCTGGGTTTAGGCTTTATTTGCTGTTCTTTCTCCAGCTCCTTTAGGTGTAGGGTTAGGTTGTGTATTTGAGACCTTTCTTGTTTCTTGAGAAAGGCTTGTATTGCTATATACTTTCCTCTCAGGACTGCCTTTGCTGTATCCCAAAGATTTTGAACAGTTGTGTTTTCATTTTCATTGGTTTCCATGAATTTTTTTAATTCTTCTTTAATTTCTTGGTTGACCCATTCATTCTTTAGTAGGATGCTCTTTAGCCTCCATGTATTTGAGTTCTTTCCGACTTTCCTCTTGTGGTTGAGTTCTAGTTTCAAAGCATTGTGGTCTGAAAATATGCAGGGAATAATCCCAATCTTTTGGTACGGGTTGAGACCTGATTTGTGACCTAGGATATGATCTATTCTGGAGAATGTTCCATGGGCACTAGAGAAGAATGTGTATTCCGTTGCTTTGGGATGGAATGTTCCGAATATGTCTGTGAAGTCCATTTGGTCCAGTGTGTCATTTAAAGTCTTTATTTCCTTGTTGATCTTTTGCTTAGAGGATCTGTCCATTTCAGTCAGGGGGGTGTTAAAATCCCCCAGTATTATTGTATTGTTGTCAATGTGTTTCTTTGCTTTTGTTATTAATTGCCTTATATAATTGGCTGCTCCCATGTTAGGGGCATAGGTATTTACAATTGTTAGATCTTTTTGTTGGATAGACCCTTTAAGTAGGATATAGCGTCCTTCCTCATCTCTTATTACAGTCTTTGTTTTAAAATCTAGTTTGTCTGATAGAAGGATTGCCATCCCAGCTTTCTTTTGGTGTCCATTAGCATGGTAAATGGTTTTCCACCCCCTCACTTTCAATGTGGGGATGTCTTTCGGTCTAAAATGAGTCTCTTGCAGACAGCATATCGATGGGTCTTGTTTTTTAATCCAATCTGATAGCCTGTGTCTTTTGATTGGGGCATCTAGCCCATTTACATTCAGGGTAACTATTGAAAGATAGAAATTTAGTGCCATTGTATTGCCTGTAAAGTGACTGTGACTGTATATTTTCTGTATTCCTTTCTGGTCCATGCTGCTTTTAGGCTCTCTCTTTGCTTAGAGGACCCCTTTCAATATTTCTTGGAGGGCTGGTTTCGTGTTTGCAAATTCCTTTAGTTTTTGTTTGTCCTGGAAGCTTTTTATGTCTCCTTCTATTTTCAATGACAGCCTAGCTGGATATAGTATTCTGGGCTGCATATTTTTCTCATTTAGTGCTCTGAATATATCATGTCATTCCTTTCTGCCTGTCAGGTCTCTGTGGATAGGTCTGTTGCCAATCTAATGTTTCTACCATTATAGGTTACATATCTCTTCTCCCGAGCTGCTTTCAGGATTTTCTCTTTGTCTCTGAGACTCGCGAGTTTTACTATTAGATGTGAGGGTGTTGACCTATTTTTATTGATTTTGAGAGGGGTTCTCTGTGCCTCCTGGATTTTGATGCCTGTTTCCTTCCCCACATTAGGGAAGTTCTCTGCTATAATTTGCTCCAATATACCTTCTGCCCTTCTCTCTCTTTCTTCTTCTTCTGGGATCCCAATTATTCTAATGTTGTTTTGTCTTATCGTATTGCTTATCTTTCGAATTTTGCCCTCGTGATCTAGTAGCTGTTTATCTTTTTCTCAGCTTCTTTGTTTTCCATCATTTGGTCTTCTATATCGCTGATTCTCTCTTGTGCCTCATTTATCCTAGCAGTTAGTGCCCCCATTTTTTATTGCACCTCATCAATAGCCTTTTTGATTTTGACTTGATTAGATTTTAGTTCTTTTATTTCTCCAGAAAGGGTTTCTCTAATACCTTCCATGCTTTTTTCAAGCCCAGGTAGTATCTTTAATAACATGATTCTGAACTCTAGGTCCGACATCGTACTAATGTTCGTATTGAGTAGGTCCCTGGCAGACGGTACTATCTCTTGTTCTTTTTGCTGAGGTGATTTTTTCCGTCTTGTCATTTTGTCCAGAGGAGAATAGATGAATGAGAGAATAGAATGCTAACAGGGTAACAACGTCCTCAGAAAATATACCCTAAACAAATCAGAAAAGACCTGAAACCAGGGAAAAAGAAAGGGAAAGAAAGAAAAAAGAAAGGGAAAAAAAAAGAAAAAGATAAAAACAAACAAAAACAGAAGAAAACAAAAAAATAGAATATGATCAAATATGATCAGGCTAATGAATAGATCAGTGCCACACACTAGATTTTGGGTGTATTTTTGTCTGTTAGAAGAAAGTGCCTCCTAAAATTTTACAGAAAGAAAGACATATATGTTCCAAATAAGGGTTGATACAATGAAGGGATGGAAGATGATTTTAAGGATGAAAATTATAAAAGATTTTATAAAAGGAATTGAGAAGATAAGAAGTTGTTTGAAAAAAGAAAGAAGAGTAAAAAAAAAAAAAGGGAGAGAAAGTGATCAGGCAGGAGACTAGAAGAAAGTATACACTAGTGATTTAGGGTATATTTTGATCTGTTAGAAGAAACTGTATCTCAAAATTTTAAAGAGAGAACTTATATATATATACGCCAAAAATAAGGGTATCTACTATGAAGGGATAGAATATGACTCTAGAAATGAAAAATAAAAAAAAATTTTTTCCAAAAAGAGATTAATAAGATGTTGGTTGAAAAAGGGAAAAAGAAAAATAAAAAAAAAAGTTAAAAAAATTAACTTTGAAAAACTAATGAATCATGGTAAATAAGCCATGAATCTATGTGCAGTATTACCCTAGCGCTGGAGTTCTCCCGTTCTCCTTGATCGATCTACTTGTTCTTGGCTTGCTGGCTGTTCGTGCTGATCTTCCGGGGGAGGGGCCTGTTGCCGTGGTTCCCAAATGTCTTTGCCGGAGGCGGAATTGCCCCGCCCTTGTCGGTCCGGGCTAAGCAAGCTGCTCGGGTTTCTTCTGGGGAGCTTTTGTTCCCTGCATGCTCTCGGTGCAGCTTTGGAGGACCAGGGTGAAAATGGTGGCCTCCCAATCTCCACCCGGAGGAGCCGAGAACTCGGGGCCCCGCTCCTCAGTGCTCCCCAGAAGAAAAGCAGTCACTCCCGTGTCCCCGGTCTCCGGCCGCACTCCGTGCTCACCCGGCCTGTGACCGAGCATTTCTATCTCTGGCACCCGACCCCGTGTGGAGTCTCCAAACCCAGCAGATCCCTGCGGTGCGCTCCCGCGCCGCTCCTCCCGGGGGAGGAAGGGGAGTCTCCCCGGCTCTGCCGCTTGTTGGGTCCCTGCTGGAGGAGCAGTGGCCCGACTGGGCCGCGGATCACAGTTTATGGCCACCCCGAGCTGAGAGCCCGCGCCTCGGCTCCGTCTCTGCGGCCGGCTTCCCCGCTCCGATCCCCGGGAGCTCTGCCGCACCCGGGCACCCCCGGTCTTTCTGTGACCCCGAGGGTCCTGAGACCACACTGTCCCGGGAGGGTTCCACCCCCCCCTTAGCCACTGGAGCGACGTCCCTCCGCGGAGGCGACTTCTACATGTTCCGATTTTGTGCTCCGCGGCTCTAGCACTTGCCAGAAGCGGCCGACGGAGGCCCCTCCCCTGCCGTCTATCCTCCCGAATATCGCCTCGGATTCACTTCTCCGCACGTCCTACCTTCCAGAAAGTGGTCGCTTCTCTGTTCAGAGAGTTGTTGCTACTCTCCTCTTTGATCTCCTGTTGAGTTCGTAGGTGTTCAGAATGGTTTGATCCCTATCCAGCTGAATGCCTGAGACCAGACGAAATCCAGGTCTCCTGCTTCTCCGCCATCTTGCTCCGCCCCCCTCTTATGATTTTCTTAATGACATTGTCTTTTCTCTAGCTGACTTTACACTACGAATATGGTATATAATACACAGAACATACAAAGTATGTGTTAACTGACTGTTCATGTTATCACTAAGGCTTCCAGTGAAAAATAGGCTGTTAGCAGTTAAGTTTTGGAGAAGTCAAAGGTTATACAGGGATTTTTGGCTACCCCAGGGGGCAGTGCCCCAACCTCGCATAGTTCAAGAGTCAACTATAATTTTTGAAAAGGCTTACATGTTTGTGAATAAAAATTACCGTGGCTAGAAAGCAGCTTTGCTTGTAATAAATAGATGGTTAAACTGTCTATCTCTGGTCTCTCGCCTGACAAATATTTGAGCCTATGTCTGGGTCTGAGTCTCTTCCTGTTAAAAGTGAAAGTAGTAGATGAAGAGGCATTAAAGACCTATCGGCACTGAATGGAGACGTTCTCATTGACTATTTTAGAAAGACAGAGGGAAACAGGAGGGAGTAACCTTCTCATTCACTCAGCAACTGTGTGCGTGTCTGCCATAGCACAGGTGTTGGCACACAGTAGGCAATCCTCTTTAATGTTATGTCTGCATAGCCCCTAAAGATCTCAGGATCCGTGTAAAATCAGTAGGTTGCCCATGTCCCAAAGTCTAGAAACACCTCTACAGTTGTCAGGAGAACAGGCACTTTTAATATCTAAGCATTGGAGGCTGTCATGAGGACAGGGGATATAATGCCAATCAAGTGCCCATCCGTGCCTGCTACATCGATGTCACCATTATCCTCATTGGTTGTCGCTATAATTTCAGGGAGAGAGCCACCGGCCCCTACGGCGATCCAAGAGAAGATGGGTTATTACCACCCTGGAACTGGAGGAGGAAGATCAAGGACCCTTTCCCAAACTTGTTGGTGAGGTGAGGAAAGCCCCTGCCACCCTCTCTGACTAGGCACGCCCCGTATGGCAGGAGGACCGAGTCTTGAAGGGCTACGTGCTTGGGAGGCCAGGGCGTGCAGTGGAAAGAGGAATGCTGTCCTGGGTTCTAGAACCCACTCTACCTCTACCTGACTGGGGGGCTTCGGGCAAGTCACTTCATGTGAGCGTGTGCCGAGAACATCAGTCCCCTGGGACAAAGCCTGCTTTATTTGGCCCATGCAAATGTATTATTTAAAAATAAGGAGATGGTGGTTACCAGAGACTGGGAGGTGGGGGCAAAAGGGAGATTAAAAAAATAAATAAATAGAAAGCAAAGCTGGGCTGCCAGGGCTGCCAGGGAGGAGGTCATGAGGGCTTATTGTGTGAGGGGGACAGAGCATCAGTTTGGTAAGATGACAAGAGCTCTGGTCACGGATGGTGGTGGCGGCCACACAACAGTGTGCGTGTGCTTAGTCCCGCCTGAACGCACACTTAAAAATGATGAAGGTAGTAAACTTTACATTGTGTGTATTTTACCGTAAGGAGATGGAAACGACAGGAAGATTGTAGTAGAAATTCTGTACTTCTAGCGGCTTTTCTGAAAGTTGGAAGATCTGCCCACAGGGAGCCTATGTTCCCACATGGCAACAACTGGATGGGGCTTGAGTTTCCCACAGTCCCCCGACTCCTTGTCGTCTCCCTCCCTCTGAGGTCGAAGCTATCACGTGACCATGTTGGGATGCTGGAATTTTTGCACGTGGCCCTTGTCATTCTTTCCATGACACTCCTGACCCAATGGACCTGTGAATTACATGCTGAGTGACTAGATCCCTACAGCATTGACATCCAACGATTTCTGGACAAAAAAATTAATTTATATTTTTGCAGTGTTTATAAAAATAGTAGATGCCTACTATAAAAAAAATACAGAAAGTTTTCAAGGCTCAGTGGTTGAAACGATCTACTCCTGAGAGTCTGGGGGACACGGTGGGCTCCTACCGCAGACGCAACGTACCCTTGCTGCGGGAGTCCCATATCCTTGCTGTTTCCCCACCACGCGGTGCTGTCAACGACAGTACCTACATTATAGGGTCGTTTTAAAGATTAAATAGGCTAAGACAAGTCAGGCACGTAGTCAGCTGGCTCACTCTAAGCCCTTTCTAAATGTCAGCCTCGCGAGTGTTCCTCCTCTCTCCCTGAAGGGATCATCCCTATTAACACATCGGTATGTACTCTTCCAGGTATTTCTCTATAGTCTCACCAAGGTGAGTCCATATTGACAAAATGGGATCACATTACACATATCGTTCTGCAAGTTGCCTTTCTGGTTTACCAGTGAGGCTCGGCCCCCTTTCTGGCGCAGAGCGTGTAAGTCCTAAAGACTGGGAGCCCTTGCCCCATGAAGGGGGTACTGCGCTAGGAGTCTTTCCCTTAGGAAGGACATGTGCATATTCTTCCCACTTGTTCACTGTGACAAACGTCATTCCCACCTCTTTGCCTGTCTCTCTGTTTCTTTTGGACAAACCCTCAGATGAGCGATTGTGAGGTGTGGTGCTTTAAAAATGTCTTTGAATCCTAGCCTTGATATTTGGCGTGCCTTGTGGTTTATTCTCATTCTTCCCCCCCCTTTGTTTTTTCCCTTGCAGCTGTTCAATGATATGTCTCATAACATGTCATTAATATATTTAATCAGTGGACCCGGTGTGGATGAATATCCGGAGATTGGTTTGTTTTCTGTAGATCACAGGAACGGACGAGTGTATGTTCACCGCCCTGTCGATCGAGAGACAACACCATCTTTTATGGTACCTAACATTTGATATACTCTCAGCTTGGATTTATTGTAAAGCTGTTGCGGGACTATTGTATTCAGCAAGCATTAGTTAAGCTGCCCACATGCCATGTCATGGGAGACTGCACATTATACACTGTAGCAAGCTTTAAAAGCATGCATGGGCAGGGAGGCTAATTTTGTAATGTTCTTTTAAAGTTCTGGACACTGTGATGAGGTATGTGAGCCACTACAGATCTTCCTTCTAATGACCGGATTCCCAGCACCATCAGGATATCCGAAAGCATTTGGGGGTAGGGCTATAGAATGTTTATAAAATGGCCTAATTTGGTTTTGAGTCACAGTTGAAATGTGTGGACAGAAGCTATAAGCAGACCCCTCAATTGCCTAACACCTGATGAACAAGCAATTACATACCCGGTGTCAGTTTGTTCTTGTGACTCCCTGTGTTCTTTAGGATCTCCTAAACCCCAACACCATGGTCTACTCTGAATTTGAAATCCAGGTTCAAAACCAGGAAAGAAAGCGATAAAGTAAAATGCCTAAGCCATGGTGGTGTATTAGGCTACCAGCCTCACCTTATAGGGGATGCTCAGGATGCTATATAGCCTTTGTTGTTTTGACTTCTGCTGGGAACTGAGCTGGTTCTCGGGCCTGCTTGGTGGTACATTAACTTCTTCAGGGTGGGAAAGAACACCTCAAAGAAGTAATTTATATACCTTTTCTCTAATGACCTCAAAATACTTATATACATAATAAAATGGACGTCCTTATTTTTTTAAATATTTTATTTATTTATTTGAGAGAGAGAGAGAAAGCATGAGAGGGAAGAGGGTCAGAGGGAGAAGCAGACTCCCTGCTGAGCAGGAAGCCCGATGTGGGACTCGATCCCGGGACTCCAGGATCATGACCTGAGCCGAAGGCAGTCGCTTAACCAACTGAGCCACCCAGGCGCCCGTCCTTAACTTATTGATAGGCTCTGAATCTCTAGTTTTTAAGCAGGGAGAAATTCTCCCCAAACTCCAGAAGTCATGTAGAGATGACTCTGCAGGTCTTCACTATATTCACATAAACCCTTGCCTCATCTAGTAAATGTGCAATGTCTATTAGATAGAAGGAACATAGAGTGATCTGAGGGTGACCCTGGGCAGCCCTGCTAAATCTTGAGTGAGCAAACAGATCACCAAGGGATCTTGTAAAAATGCAGATTTGTTTCTGTAAGTCAGGGTGGAGCCCGAGACTCTGCATCTCCAGCCAGCTCCCAGGAGAGGGTGCTGCGCTGGCCCTCGGCTGCCATGTGCTGAGTGCAGAGGGTCCAGAGGGTCCAGGACAGATAGTAGTGGGCGTGACTTGTGCAAGGACAGAGCAAAACATTTCGTGCTTGTGGTCTTTGTTTTGTTGTTGTTGTTTGGTTGCTGTTGTTTGCCTTTTTTTTTTTAAGATTTTATTTATTTATTCGACAGAGAACGTGAGAGAGTACAAGCAGCGGGGAGCAGTAGAGGGAGAGAGAGAGAAACAGGCTTCCCACTGAGGAGGGAGCCCGATGCGGGGCTCGATCCCAGGACCCTGAGATCATGACCTGAGCCAAAGGCAGACACTTAACCATCTGAGCCACCCAGGCGCCCCTGCTGTTGTTTGCTTTTTAACAACTTCACTGACATTTCAAGGGTTGGCTTTCACGAGGTTTAATATGGGACTTTTTGCTGGAAGCTGATAATGCCTAAGCCAAACCCATGAGACTGTTTTCTGACACATGAGGCCCAAGTGGGAAAGCTTGGCATGTCACACAGAGGTCCCAGGGAACAGTTAGAGCAAGCGGGAAAACTGTGGGAGCATGAGTGGCATCCCCATGGGTCCTACTCCGTCAGGATTTCCAAACCTTGTGTTTGGCCCTGCTGGGTGAGCTCAAGCCCATGATCTGATCCCCACAACTGTTATCACAGCCGCCGTTTTACACCAAAACACTCGCTAGCTGGCCCCTCATTTGACTGGGAACTTCCACGAGGGAAGACACAGGGTGGGGATTTGGAGGCGTGCCCCCACCGGTGGCTCTCTGTCTCATGATCCTGGTTTACTGTCTCCTTATTACTTCTCACCACCTGAACTGTATGCCTGAAACGTGTTTGGTTCTCTGTGGGTGGTCAATCTCGCCAGTGGAACGCATTTCCCCCGAGTCAGGAATAGGGCTCTGCGCATTGTAGGTTTTCAGTCAATTATGTTCCATGAATGAATGAGCATGGCAGAATGTAGTCTCTGCTTCCAGGGTGTTGTGGGTTGACTTGTGCCTTCCAAAAAGATGGGTTCAAGTCCTACCCCTGGTACCTGTGAATATGACCTTATTGGGATATAGGGTCTTTGTAGATGTCATCAAATTAAGGTGAGGTCATACTGGATTAGGGCGACTGGCATCCTTATAAAGGGAGGAGGATTTGGACACAGAGGACAGAGGGGAGAAGGCTGGAGACAGAGACGGGGGTGATGCATCTGTAGGCGGGGGACACCACGATTGCTGGCAGCCCCCCAGCAGCTGGAGGAGAGGCTCAGAGTCTCCAGAGGAAACCAAGCCTGTTGTAGCTTCCCAAAGCGTGAGAGAACACATTTTGTTGTAAGGCACCCAGGTGTTGCAGCAGATAGAGGAAACTAGCAAGCCGGGGTTACCATACTTGCTAGGAAGACAAGAAACAGGCTGATGAGAGGGATTACCAGCTGTGAAAAGTGGGCTAAGAAGGAGTCACAGAAACACCACACAGGCCGGGGCCTTCTGGTTCAGCCTCCTGCTTCTGCAGAAGGGTGTTTGCTACCGGGTTTTGGCTGTGCATAAAGCCAGGATGTATTAGAAATGAAGTCAGCCCAAGGGCTGGCCAAAAGGCATTCCCAGTACCACTGCTGTGTTCTTGGGGAATAGTGAAGGAGTCACGAAAATTAGCCAAAACATATAAAAACTTGTGTTTGGGAGGTGGGGGTGGGGTGGGGAGGGCTGACTTCTTGTTAATTCCGTAAGCCTGCAAAGAATGCAGTGTCACCAGCTGAGAATTGCCGGAAGATTTAAAACACAGCTGGAAAGGGGAAAAGTCTGACTTTTTCTGTGTAGGAGTCTCATCTGTTTATATTAAAATATGCTCAATTTCATCGGATACAAATACACTCAGGAAAGTCATTCTTTTTTTTTTTAAAAAGATTTTATTTATTTATTTGACAGAGAGAGACACAGCGAGACGGGGAACATAGCAGGGGAATTGGAGAGGGAGAAGCAGGCTTCCTGCTGAGCAGGGAGCCCAATGTAGGACTCGATCCCAGGACCCTGGGACCATGACCTGAGCCAAAGGCAGATGCTTAATGACTGAGCCACGCAGGCACCCAAGTCATTCTTTAATATTCTTTTATATTCCTCAAAATCATCATTTGTGGATCTTTATGCCAATGCACTCATCTTTGCCTACTTGAAACCTATGCATACAAGTGACTTTGTCTTGCGTGTTTGGCATTTAAAGTATTCCCGTGTGACTAAGAGTACATATCCTGCACGTGCCATTTCAGTGGTCATATGCCCCTCCATCATGTCACCACACTGTGGTGTGTCACCCAAGGATCTAAATCTTAAGGCTATAACAAAGGTTGAAAATCCTTTCCAAGTGCAGAAAATATCCATGACATTTCTTTTCTCCATTGCAGTTCTGAGTCCCCGGAAATTCTTAGCATCTCGCCAAAGAATAAACAGCACTACGCCTCTCAGGCATCTAACAGAACTGATGATCTCTGATGTAGCTTTTAGGATAATAAATGGAATATAACATAATAAACATAAAACATACATGGGGTTCTTATTTTTAAGTGGAAGGATTACAGTTGGCACTGTGTTGGGGCCAGAAGTCCGTGGGATTAGGGAGTAGAGATGCCCGCATAGTCATAAATTATAGAAGAGCATGTGGAAATGGTGTGGGAGAAAGCCAATTTGCTTGAACAGAAATTTAAAAAAAAATGTATGTTGGACTCCCGGGAGCAGACCAGTGCAGTGGTCCTGAGGGGAGAGGAGACAGATGAACCCGGAGAGCCTGGGGCCCAGGCCACCACTGAGGACAGCTGGCGGGACCACCGTGGCAGAGGCTGATGAGTGGGTGCCAACAAGTCTGCAGGAAAGAGGCCCAGGGAGGTGGGTGCAGCAGAGCTCTTGTGGGCTCTGGGGAAAGGAGAGATTTCTGCCTGAAACTGGCAAGGTGCTAAGACCCCTGGCTGGTGAAGCTGCCTGCTGTGGGCTCTGGGTAGCTGTGGAGGGGAGTGATGGTGTAGTCAAGTCTACATCTACTTGGACTTGAATCTGGGCTGCGCTGAGAGTGGACAGCCATGGAACCTCTCCGTGGTCCACAGTAGGGCACCAAGAATGCCTCCCTCTAAGGCTTCTGTGAGGCAGGAAGGAGGTGATCTATGTAGGAGCTCGGTCCTGGGCCTCACTGAAGCTGCTTCTCCTGGAATAAACCCCGTGCTTGCTCAGTGTCCCCCAGCAGGGCTCTGTACCTGCAAGCAAACAACCCTTGAGAAAGCACCGTTTCCAGAGCGAAGAGCTCCTCCGGGCGATGTCACCCCTTCCCACTCCTTTTTCTGGGACTCTGAACTCCTTCTGTCCCAGCTGAGCAGAGCCCCACACAGGGCTGGATCCCATGACCCTGAGATTGTGTCCTAACCTGAAATCAAGAGTCCGATGTCTAACCGACTGAGCCACCCAGGCGCCCCGATTTGCTCCTTTGTTTAAAGTTCTTAAGAGACTAAAGCAAGAAGCCTAAAGTATTGCTTTGAGACCTTTTGAGAGGAAAGACTTCCCGCTGCATGTTTGAGATGAGCGAACCCTCCTTCTTCAAACACAGAAGTGACATCCCTAACCACTGCAGAACCCACGACATGGCAACAGCTGGGCTAGTTACTTTGAGCATTTCCTTTCCCTAAAACGTTCAAGGGTCTGCCCTCTGCAGCGTCTCAGGAGTGTTGGTTAGCACCTGTATTTCTCACGACAGCACCAACAGCAGAAACTGAGGCTCCTGAGCAACCTGGCTATGTTTTACCCTGGTAGAGAAACTGAGATTAGAACCTGATCATAACGAATGTTTACTGAGTGCCTCGTCTGTGCCAGCACTGTGCTCAGTCCCTGGGGTCACGAGGTGAAGGACAGCGATGAGATCCCTGCCCTCAGAAACTTTTTGGCTAATGCAGGAGAGGATGCAAACCGTGTGATGACATGAACATATAACATGACATCAAGTAAATGAACGTGCAACATTAACACAGTTCTCTGCTTCCTAGGTTTATTTTGATGTTGTAGATCGCTTAACAAGAAAGGTCATGGATGATTCCTTGATTTTCAACATTAGGATCGGCGATGTGAACGACCACGCACCCCAGTTCCCTGAGAAGGAATTCAACATCAGTGTGAAGGAGAACCACCCTGCAGGTGCGTGCGGCGGGGGTGCGGGGGCTTCCTCTCCCCTCTGGTCCTCTCTGGTCCATCTGCTTCGATGTTGCGGTGCCTGATCCTCGTTGTCTTTAGGGAGAAATTTTACTCTTCTCATCCCGAAGGTGGCAGGCTCTGGTTTTGAGCAGAATGCTTGGAGGTCTGTAAGTATCGTTTTGTATTGACAATAAAATGAGGCGGAAATTGTGTCTGTGGCAAGAGCTGATATGTAAAGACCAATCTAAAATAGGTCAGATGCACTGAGGGAGAAAGGCAGAGCTGAACAGTGCCTTCCTGAATATCTCTGTAAATTTCTCACCTGTAAAATGGCAACGAGATGACATCTAAAGTTTCTGAGCTATAGATTCTGTGTCTTTAAATCCAAACCACTTTCACTAGAATGTGCATCTATTTTAATAACAGAAAAACATTATTTATTTCACAAAATAGTCTTTAGAAAATTTGGAAAATTCCAAGACATTAAGACTGAACTAGAAAGCTTATTTAATACTTCCAATTAGAGATAAGTACCATTAATGTTTTAGTTTATATTCTTTCAGTATTTTTCTTCCAATTTTGTATGTGTGTGCGTGTACACACACTGTATATTTATCTATGTGTATATATATTCCCTGATTTTATATATAATTACAAATGCATTTTTCATCTTTATCATAGTGCAAAATATATATGGGTATATAATAAATATTTACAAATGTATGGGTGTGCTTTTTCATATGTGTATATTTATGAATTTTCTTTTCTAAAACGGCAAATTTACTGTTTGTAACCCAAAAGTGTTCTCCTTCAGCATCCTATTGTGTAATATTTTATTTCATGGATGTGCTTCAAGGCTTCTTAATCTCCTATTGTTAGACATTTATGTGCCATGCCCACTTTTTGTTATCTTCACAAAATATGCTTCAGTGAACATATTGAGCTAAATCTGTGTCCACTGAAGCATTATTTACTTGGCATCATTTAGAAGAGCAGAATGGCTGGTTCTGACTGCCCACACAATTTAAGTGTTCCGCTTTACTCACCTACCGGCAACATCTGGGGGGCCTGGCATGGGGTTCATCTTTGATTATTAAGTGCTGACGTATGTTGATAGGTTTCTTGTCCATTTCTGTGTACCAGATACTTGTTCCTTTCTTGGTCCATTTCTGTTCCTGTGCTTGTCATTTTTCTTCTTGATTTTAACCTTCTCATTCTGTATTAAGAATGTTTATGTCTGCCATATATATTTTAAATGTTTTCCTGGTTTATCATTTCTTTTAAAATTTTGTCTATATAGTTCTTCTTGGCACACCTTTAAAAATCTGTCTGATCTATCAATTCTCTCCTTTATGTCTTCTGCATTTGCAATTGTGATTAGAAAGTTCTTGTGATTATTAAGGGGCGCCTGGGTGGCCTATTCAGTTAAGCGTCTGCCTTTGGTTCAGGTCATGATCTCAGGGTCTTGGGATCGAGCCCTGCGTCCGGCTCCCTGCTCAGCGGGGAGCCTGCTTCTCCCTCTCCCCCTATGTATACTCTTTCTCTCTCTCTCTCTCTCAAGTAAATAAAATCTTAAAAAAAAAGAAAGTTCTTGTGACTATTTAAATATCCCTTTTTAGTTTTTATAGTGTGTCTATAGTTTGATTTTATATTTAAATATTCGGTCCATTCTGGTGGATGCCTTCATGTCATTTAGCAAAGTATCATCACTCTATTGGTTTGATATGCTGCTTTTGGTCAATAGTAACTGTTAAAACAATTCTTTCCAGGTCAACCCATTTTCCAGATGTTAACAGTTGATTTGGATGAAGAAAATACTCCAAATTCTCAAGTCCTTTATTTCCTTATTTCTCAAACACCGTCACTGAAAGAAAGTGGCTTCCAGATTGACCGTATTAGTGGAGAAATACAACTCTCAGGATGCTTAGATTATGAGGTTATGTGGATTTTATTATTTTTAAAAACTGAAATGTGTTCTCTATCTTGGAGCCCCAGACTTAGGATTTATGTTTGTAGTGGAAAACCCTCTGTGGCTGGACTTGCTATTGAAGTTGCTATAATGGATTATTACTTTATTAATATTTCCCTTTGCTGTATTTGAAGGGCTTGACTGTTCTTTTCCTTCCCACCTAGACTGCTCCGTGGTTTACACTACTAGTTGGAGTGAAGGATTTGGGAGAACCTCCCTTGACATCCACGGCCATGGTTCATGTGAACGTGCAAGAAGGCAACAACCACAGGCCCACGTTTACCCAGGAGAATGTAAGACACCTGGGCCTCCTCAGACGCCATGGCCCTGCATAAATGGCCCCAAGTTCTAGGCTCAGTTTTGCTGAGGGAATTCTCCATAACACCCAAGATACGTGTCATTCTCCAAGATCACTTAAACTAGATGAAGACATCAACCATCCTGATATAGAATCATTTAATAATAGACTTATGAGCTTACGTTTCTTTACTATTTTGTGCCAGAAACTGTGCTCAGAGCTTTCACGTGCACGCTTTCATTTTGAGGTGCTGGGACTCGCACATGATTTCTCTCTCACAGACGAGGAAGCCGAGGCACAGGGAAGATACAGAATCCATGCTCACTCTACATGGAGGTTTCTCAGTTCCACACTATTGACGGGGGATGGGAAATTCGTTGTTGTAGGACCAGGGGAGGCCGCCCAGTGCACCGTAGGATGTTTAGCAGCATCCCTGACCTCCGCCCACTAGACACCAGGGCACCTCCCAGGCGTGACAGCCAAAAATGTCTGCAGACATTGCCCAATGTCCACTGGGGGGCAGGTTCGCCCCCGGGTGAGATCTAGACCTGAGCTTTTTCACAACATCTGGAGTTCTAGAATAGGGAAGATGAGCAGGTGGGCTCTGGCTGAGCCTTTCTCAGATCACCTGATTTATATACAGGGTTCCACACGGGATTTCAAATGCTACCAATCCACATGCTTGAAGAAAGCACTGAAACCCACATTCCAGATCATTTGGAAATGCCACACCACTTGAGATATGCAAGATTGCTAAAAACACTCAGGATTTGTTTCCTATTTTATATTTTTTGCTCTCTCATATGCATTTTTTAAAAGAAAAATATCTATTTTACTTCTTTCTCCTGACCTCTCTCAGTGAGACCTTTCCCGATGACCAAGTTCAATCCCCCACACAGCATCCACCCCCTCCTTCCTGTCCCTATCCAACACACACACACACACACACACACACACACACACACACACTCTTAATCATCTGCTCCCTGGGGATGGAGTTTTGGCCATCCTGTTCACAGCACCTAAGACAAAATCTGGCACATTGGAGCCTTTGTTGAATATTAATAAATGCTACAAACAATTATTTTCAAAAAGTATTGTTTGAAAAAAATTTAAAAAATTGTATAGACAAGGGGTGCATGGGTGGCTCAGTTGGTTGTGTCTGACTCGTAATCTCTGCTCATGTCTTGATCTCAGGGTTGTGAGTTCAAGCCCCACGTTGGGCTCCATGCTGGGCGTGGAGCCTACTCAAAAAAATCTTAAAAAAAATTATATAGAGAAAAGCCGAAGTGTTTTCAAATGAAAACACCTCACCAAACAGTACAGAATAACTGAAATATATTGAACCTTGTTTTGAAATCTTTCTCTGGCTTAGTAAAAAGCTCTGCTCTCAAAACTAAGGGTGGGGAAAATAAACCCTGTTTCCATGTACTTGTCAAAGAGAAATTATCTTGTTGCCAAAAGCACTGAATAACAAGCTAAAGATCTATATGTGTTAGAAAAATGATTGTCTTAATCTAAGTCACTATAAGAGTTCTATTTTAGAAGAGTTAGGTTTTTTTAGCAGCATAAACTAGGGTGTGCATTATTATTTTAAAGATTCTTAGAAAAATAGTGCGAGTTGGATTTAAGAGGACTTTTAAAGTTATTCGGCTGTAGACACAAGTCACAGGGAGAAGGAATAGATGCTTGTTGTGATGGGTCAGGCAGAGCTTCAGATCATTTGAGGTCAAGTTAAATAGCATATATCCATGTTCTTGTGCTAAGGACTTACATTTTCTTTCTTGCTTTCTTTTTCAATTGTGTGTCTTTATCCCCATGGTGTGGACATGATGATTGCCTCTCCCAGTACAGGATTCAGATTTCTGAAGGCTGCACAAGCCAGAGCGTGTTGCATCTCCTGGTCCAAGATGGTGACTTGCCATTTACATCAGCTTGGAGAGTAAAATTTCACATACTGAATGGCGACGAAGAGGGACATTTTGACATTCTGACTGACCCTGAGACCAATGAAGGGATTTTAAATGTGATCAAGGTAAAGCTATCGGGGAAGGCACACCTGCCAGGTGGCTGCAGGGTTGGGGCCCCTCTCCGCAGGAGTCCCGATAGGGACATGGCAGCTGGCGTCGGGGAGTGCCCGCTGTGCCACGCCCGTGAGGTGTGGCGTGCTGTGTGTCCCAGTGGCCCCCAGTGAGGGGCAGGCTGTGTCATGAGTGCCGGCTGCCACAGGCCCTTGGCCCTTTTGCCTTTGTGGAACCTCCCATCAAAATAATATCAATACTGAAAATTACTTTTGACAATGTGCCAAGTTCTTCAAAATTTAATTTTTTCTGTTTGAGACAAAATAGATTTATATAGGTCCTAAAATGTTTATTTTTTTTTCTGATGTGATAAAATATTTCAGACATTTTCTCTAATCCTGAAAGTTCATTTTTTTCCTTCTGAGTTTAAAAGACATTAGAAGGTATGCATGGACCCCTAAAAGTCTTGTGGGCCCCTGGCACTTCGCCTGCTGTGCCTAATGAGGAGCTGGCCCTGCAGAAAAGTATTATTTTCTCCTTTCACTGATAAGGAACAAGGCCCAGATAGGTTGGGTCGTTTACATGAAGTCACACAGCCGGAGTGGTTCTGACTGAGGTGGTCTGACTCCATTGTTTTTAGTCTTAATTGCTCTCAGCTAGACCCTGGAGTAACCAGTGTCCTGGTGCCATGCTGGCGAGTCAATGTGGGGATCAGGTTGAAAGGCCTGGGTTGGAAGGTCTGGGATGGGGCCTGGGCTCCTGCCTATCAGAGGAACAAAGTACCGGGTGATGCCCGTGGGCCCCAACCATGCTGTGAACAGCAAGGCTCTGGGGTACTCCATGCCAGATGCCTGGGATTGAATATCTCAAATATTCCTAGCTTTTCAGTCATTTTAAGTCACTGCCCACTTTGCACCCTGAGTAACTGTGATCATTAATTTCTGTATTTCCTTAAGCTCCCCTGGTTTTTTTTGCAGCAGAGTTGCCACATTAATGTTTCATTAGGTTATGGTTTTTGTTACATTTTTCATTACTGTCTGATGGATGGTGGCTCTTTTCAACCAGGAGAGGGGGAGGGAAGAAAAAACAAACCAGAACTCCGTAAGTGATTTGAAAATGGGCTGGCCACTGTCTTTTGGTCATTACCAAAAATGGTGTAAATAATAAATGAATTGCAAAAGCCATGCACTCTGGGTGCGCGTGATCACATACTGAGCTTTCTCCAGCCAGAGAAGCAGCAGGTGCTCATGAAACCCTCTCTCTGGGACTCGCAGCCCTTGGATTATGAAACTCACCCTGTACGAAGCCTTGTCATCACCGTGGAGAACGAGGAGCCGCTCTTCCTCTGTGAGGGGGGTCAGGTCCAGGGGCCCCGGTGGGCGGTGGTGAGCACCACTGTGAGTGTGCAGGTGATGGACGTCAATGACCCACCAGCCTTTCACCCCAGGAGCTTTGTCGTCAGTGAGGTCGACGGTGCCAGGCCTGGAATTCAGCTGGGAATTTTCAATGCTACAGATCCAGACAGAGCTGCCGGCCGGATAAGGTGAGAAGAGAGGAACGGGGAGTGTGGTCATTTAAACAGAACCAGCCCCCTACCCGTGGGCGTTCCTGGTGGAAACCTGCCCTTTGGCGGGCAGGTGAGGTTGACTCCAGCTCAGTTATGAAAATACCAGAAGCCACCAGGACAAGGCCCGCTGGCCCACGTTCAGTGCCTTCTTCCTTCCAGAGCTGCCTCTGACCCCCTCCCCCCGGGGAAGCACACCTGCTCTTTTCCCCTTGCACTTAGCACACATCGCTTTTATACCGTTTTTCTTATATTAAAATAATTTGTTATGTGTTTCTATGTCCCTTTTTACTAAAAGTTGTAAACCGGCAGCCCTCTGGCTTCTGGGCAACAGAAGTGGGGTTTTTTAAATTTAATTGTGGTAAAATATATCTAACACAAAGTTTACCATTTTAACCATTTTTAAGTGTTCAGTTCAGGGGCATTAAGTATATTCATGTTGTTGCACATTCATCCCCACTGTCCATCTCCAGAACTTTTCGATCTTATAAAACTGAAAGTCTGTCCCCATGAAAGAAGATCCCCATTTCTCTTCCTTCCGACTGGCAACCACCACGCTACTTTCTGTCTCTGTGAATTTGATTACTCAAGGTGCTTCATAGAAGTGGGATTGTACAGTATTTGTCTTTTTGTGACTGCCTTATTTTGCTTATTTGGCATGACGTCCTCTGGGTTCATCCATGTGGTAGCAGGTTGCAGACCTTCCTTCCTTTTCAAGGCTGAATAATATTCCACTGTCCGTAGAGACCACACTGTGTTCTTCCATCCACCTGTGGGCGTCCACTTGCGTTGCTCAGTGTTTTGCCATAGAGTTGCCATAATCCCTAGGAAGATGGCAGAGTGGGAAGCATCAGGAATCTCTCCCCACCCAGACAATTGCACGGGAAGAATCTGTCTCACGTACCTGTTTTGGAACTCCGGATTCTGTTGAAGGCTTGCAACTGCCAGAGAAAGGCTTGGATGGTAAACTGCAGTTAATTTTGGTCAATTATGGCTCTTAGCACAGTAGCAGCAACTGCTCCCTATCCCCGGCCGGTGGCCAGCAGCTGTGCACCTGTTCCTGGAATGGCCAAACAGAGTTTGCAGGAGTCAGAGTGGGCAAAAAAAAAAATCTCTGTCCCCCAAATATCAGGGGTCAGTGCTCTGCTCGCTGATTGCTGCTTTCACTCCCGGAGGTGCAGCCAAAGAGGAAGGCAGCCATTGGTTTTGCCCTTCCGTTGATGTGGCAGACCCCCTCCCCCGCCAGCTGAAGTGGCTTCCGGGGATTGGATGGACTGGTGCCTGCATTTTCCCCTCTTCATTGTTTGCTTTTCCCTATTTCGGGAGCCAGACATTAAAGGCTAGGACAATTCCACAACAACCACCTGTAGGAGGAAAATCAGAAAGTGGCCGGTGTGCCCAGGGAAAAGGTCAGGAAAGGCCTGAGAGGGCATTAAGTTGAGAAGCTGATCCTCAGCACAGAGACAGCCCATGACAGTCCAACAAATGAACAAAAATAAAAAACAAAAACAGAAACAATAAGGAAAAACAGAAAACCCTGGGAAGGGGGAGAATCTGATCTCCAGTGTTCCCGCATGGTTAGATCCAAATGCCCAGCGTTCAAGAAGAAAATCACAAGGCATACAAAGAAACAGGAAAGTGAGGCCCATTCAAAACAATAGATCAACAGAAACTGCCCCTGAAAAATACCTGATGGCAGATCGGTTAGATGAAGTCTTTCCCAACAACAGTCTTACAAATGCTCCAAGACCTAAAGGAGGATGTGGAGGAAGACCAGAAACAGTGTGTGAACAAAATGGAAATGCCAATAAGGAGACAGAAAACCTAACAAGGAAGGAGAAGGCTGATGAAGGACTTACTGTCAGAATTACTTCATACATAAATGGATTAAACTCTTTAATCAAAAGACAGAGACTGGCAGAATGTATAAAACACATGGTCCATGCCCTCTACAGGAGACTCACTTGGAGATCTGAATGTGCAAACAGGTCACCTGACACTATATGCAAAAATTAACTAGAAATGGATCAGGACCTACATGTAAGACCAAAAACAATAAAACTCTTTGAAGAAAGTGTAGGACAAAAGCATCATGACACTGGATTTGGCAATGATTTCTTGGATGTGACACCAAAGACGCAGATAACAAACGAGAAAATAGTCAAATTGGACCTCATGAAAATCAAAACATTTTGTGCATGAAAAGACACTATTCACAGAGTACAAAGGTGACCCACAGGATGGGAGAGAATATTTGCAAGTCCTATAACTGATAAGGGACTAATTCCAGAATATATAGAGAACTCCTAAGACACAACATCAGAAAAATACAAACAACCTGATCCAAAAGCAGATATAGGACTTGAACAGACATTTCTCCAAAAGAGATACACAAATGGCCAATCAGCACATGAAAGATACGCAACATTCCTAATCATCAGGGAAATGCAAATCAAAACTACACCTCACACCTATAAGGATGGCAACTATCAAAAAACCAGAAAACAAGTGTTGGCAAGGATGTGGAGGAACTGGAACCTTTGTGCGTGGTTGGTGGGAATATAAGTTGGTGCAGCCACTGAGGGAAACAGGATGATGGTTCCTCAAAAAAATTCAAAGTAGAGCACCATATGATCCATAGTGTTCCACTGCTGGATATCTATGCAAAGAATTGAAAGCAGGATCTCGTATTTGTACACCCACGTTCAAAGCTGCATTGTTCATGATAACTAAAATGACAAAGCAACCCAAGTGTCCACTGAAGGATGAGCGGATAAGCACAACATGGTATATATACGTAACAGAATGTTATTCAGCCTTAAAAACCAAGGATATTCTTCAGTATGCTATAACGTGGATGAACCTGCAGACATTATGCTAAGTGAAATATGTCAGTCACAAAAAGACAAATTCCATATGATTCCACTTACAATTTCCCATACTACTTGTGATAGGATCTGTGTCTGCTATGATGTATTTTGATTTGCCTTTTGATGTAAATTTTAATTTTAAAAATTGCATGTGTTTCCTTCTACAAGATATAAACTGGCTTATGATCTGGCAAATTGGGTGACCATAGATGAACTCTCAGGAACAGTGACCACCAGGCAGCAAATTGACCGAGAATCCCCTTATGTAAATGATAGCTTTTACATAATCATCGCGCATGCTGTTGATGATGGTAAGTGTTTACCCAAAATTGGGGGGGAGGAGTGTGTTTCCTTGTTTCCTGAGGGAAAATAACACTAGTGAGAGTCAGCACAACTGGGAAAAATACATAAAATAAACCTTTTCAGCACTATGCATCCCTCCTGGCAACTATTTTTTCACGATAATTTTTGAAATGGCAAACCAAGGACCAGTGCCATGGGAAGAGAGGCGGTATTCATTCAGAAGAGACGATTGAGCCAATGAGGAAGCTGCCATCAGACCCAGTGTCTGTTTCATCCCTCCATAAAACAACTCTAGCTCTTCCTCAAAGCTGGCGGTGTGTGATAAAAATTTAGCACAGTTTCCCTGTACTTGGAATGGCTTATCGGCTCTGGTGAACATGATTGCGTGGGACAAATTTGTCATAAACCAGGGTGAGCAGCGCTCTGAGCACGATACACCACTTTTCTCTATGATCTCCCAAGGCTGGACTTTGAAACCTGCCAAAACACAGAGATGAATAAATAACAACTCTCAACTTTAATAATTGTGTTTAAGGAAATCTGTGAGTTAAAGCCCAGGTTTTAAGGGAAATGTAGGTGTATGTCCCATTTGTGCGACTAACTAGTAGAATGTTGGTTAGGAAGATGTTAAATCTGTGTTCCTAATCAGTCTTAAGTGGGGAGAGAGCAAGGTGGGGGTCCAACTTCCAGGGACCTGAAGGAACAATGTGGTGAGGTCCAGAGTACCCACTGCCTAGTGTCCCCTACTGGTGAACATCTTGCAAGACTGTAGTGCCTGGTGACAACCTGGATTCTGACGTGGACACAGCCAAGAGGCCGAACATCTCCACCACGTCACACCCATTTCACTCCTGCCCCACCCCCTTCTTTACACCTGGCATGGCTCACACCGGGAAAAACGAATGATTCCATATTCTACCTGGTTCTACAAATGACTTGAGGTGGCAAGTGTTTTGTTAACTTACCCTTCCCAGATATTCTGAATTTTCAAAAAAGCAGGAGAACAGAGCAAGCACCTAGAGGAAAGCCTAGGACCTTCAAAGGGAAATGGTTTCAGCACAATGACTCCTTTCCTCGGGGGATGATACTGCTCGTTCTCCAGGGGTTTGTGTGCATCCAGCAGGCTCTTTAATTAACAAGCAATCCTTCCTGGAACTCCCCCATTTCCAGGCCTCCCGCCACAGACTGGGACGGGGACCCTGATGCTTTTCCTGTCCGACGTCAACGACAACGCCCCCGCTCTCCATCCCCATTCTCGATATGTGGAAGTCTGTGAGTCTGCACTGAATGAGACCCTCCTCCTCCAAGCGGAGGATGGTGACCTGGAGCCCTATGCAGACCCCTTTACATTTGAGTTGGACAATTCGTGGGAAAGTGCAGGAGACACATGGAAATTGGGGGAAAATCGGGGTGAGTTTTGGTATTGGGCAGGGATAAAGGACTGAAAATGACCTGACTCTAACCGACCCAGGCAAAATAATAATAATCATCCTATAATAATTATTATTATCCTATAATTATTATTAATAAGTATCCTATAATAATAATTATTATTATTTATTGGTTTTTGTAACTGAAAAGATGCCAGTAAGCCTGTGTTATAGCAGAGCTGGGTCTAGGTGCTCAAGGGATATCCCTAGATGTTCGTACTGTGGCTCTCTCTTTCCCTGGGTTCCTTCATTTTCAGGCAGGCTCTCCTCCGGGGTAGCAGGGTGGCTGCTGGGCATCCCCAGGACTCATCCTAGCACCTGGCAAGAAGATTTATATCACTGTGTGGCTTTGGTCAGCTGCCCCATGAATTATTGTGGATGGGAGTTGGGAGGACAGATATGCTGACTGGCTGGTTCTGAGCCCATGCTGGGCCTTGTTGGGGTCTGGGCTTTGCATTTCCTGATCTGCATGGGCTGGTTCAGGAGGTGGGGGCTCTCCCAAAGGAAAACTGGGGTGCTGTTACCAGGAAGCCACTGGCATCTGCTGTCAACATTCTCCTTTGAGCTTCTATCAGTGTGTCTGTAGAATGTAGCATATTTTTTGGATGAAACTATGAGCTCATGTTTACAGTTCCCAGCCCCAGAGTATGTAGTAAGCCATTGAACATTGCCCCAAAAGAGCTCTGGCCTTTGCCCTTGGCTTCTGGGAGGTGAGCTTTAGGCCTTCGGGATGTCTTGCCTGAAAGGAATGTCTTTGTTTACCTTGGTCTTGTGCCAGCCAGATACAGATGTGGTTTAGGGTGGGGGCTTTGGGTCACGTGGGCATCCGTTGGGCATCCAGCAACACTGGAGACCAAGGTCAGCCATTGGATGGCCAACCAGATTCACATGACTGAGTCTTGATAAAGATCCTGGACACAAGGCTCAGGGGACCTTCCCTGGCTGACAGCACTCTAAGCATTATGTCACTTACTGATGTGGGAAGTGACACTGTCGTGACTCTGCTAGAGAACTGGGAGCTCTGTGTTTGGTGCTTCTCTGAATTCTGCTCTCTGTGCTTCTTCCCTTGGCTGATTTTAATCCATAACCTCTTGCTGCAATGAACCATAATGATGAGTGCACAGCCTTCAGTGAGTTCTGTGGGTCCTTCTAGGGAACTTTCAAACCTGAGCACGGTCTTGAGAACCCCTGGACACACAGCTGGTGTCAGATAGAAGTGAGCGTGGTCTTGGTGACTGTTCCCTCTAAGTCCAAAATTGGCTAACTTTTGTACAGAGCCGTGGTGCATGGGAGGGACTTAGTAAATCTCTGTTGAGTAGATGGGCAAATGAGCAAGTCAACACATGCAAAGTCTGTTTCTCTTTTGCAGGTCGGTCAGTTGAACTTTTAATGTTGAGAAGCCTCCCACTGGGTAATTACTCGGTGCCACTGGTCATCAGAGACAAACAGGGACTTTCCCAGAAGCAGACTGTCCATGTAAGGGTCTGTTTCTGTCCCGGTGGAGTCTCGTGTGTGGAGGCATTAGTCGCAGTCACAGGAACTGGGCTCCTCGTGGGCACCCTGGCCCCTCTCTGTGCAGCGTTCATGATTCTGGCAGGTCAGTGGTCTGCAGCGGCTGTCCTGGGGATGTGGCTCCTCTTCCCAGGCTGTAAGCCAGCAGTGTGGAGTCCTCTGGGCCAGGGAGCAGAAGATGGCAGAGATCAGTGGGGTGCCTTGAGAATGACCCTTAGGCTCATCAGAGTCTCAGAGACTCAGACATGCTACCTGTCTGGCAAAAGCAGCTACTAGAAATTCAGTGGACAGCAATTTATAGCAATGGACCCCATAGAGGAACACTGTGGTTTGCAGTAACACTGGGGGCAGCAATGTGCAGATATCTAGGCTCCTGGGCTTGCAGAACACGAATAAGCAAGCTCAATTTTCAAATAAACAATACAATGTTATTGGTCACATGGTATTGATCAATTCAACCAATAATTATCTAGCACCGACTTGTGCCCCAAGCCACACTCATTATATAGCTATGGAGATGATCAAGACACAGCTGACCATGTCTGTTCATGGCTGAGTTACCAGTCATCAGAACAAGATCCTGTTGAAACCTCTGATGACGATGAGCTGCCCAACTCATTTCCCTGCTCTGTCTCATTATAGCCACTCTGCTGTTCCTGCTGCGATACTATTTTGTATCCGAAGTCAGGCTCAGAAGCTCTGAGGAAGGCCTGCAGACTCTGAACATGTATAACGATGAGAGCAAAGCCATTTCAACCCAGGTAGTGGAGACTAATGCTTCCTGTTTCCTGACAGTGATGTCCGTAGTCCATGCACATGTTTTTCCACCCATCGAGCCCCCTGTCACTTCTTCACGCTCACTTATATTTGAGTAGCAAATGGGAAAAAGATTCCTATGAAAACTGTCCAACTCAACTAAATTGAATGATTATTTTAGGCCAGCAATTCTCAATTGGGGGCGATTTTGCCCCCCAGGGGATGTTTGGCAATGTCTAGAGACAGTTTTGATGGTGGCAACTTGGTTGGGGTGGGAAGACATGGTTTTGGCTTCCAGTGGATGCAGAGAGGCCACGGCCCCAGCACAAAGGGTCTGGCCCAACGCGCCAGCAATGCTGAGGTGGAGAAGCCTTGCTTAGGGGGAGATGTTGTTCACCAGGGGGACTTTCTCTAGATGGAAGTGTGTCAGGCTCACTAATGAAATGCCTGGGGTGGTGGTGAGGCAGCGCCCGCCCCTCTAACCTTGCCCGGCTGAGGCTGGGCACAGAACTCGCTGGTCTGGCAGGGACAAGACCTGGGCTTTGCTTCTCATTAGCTTCACCTCATTGAGCATGTCATTCAGCCCCACATCCTCCCCTGTGAACCAAGGAGGATAAAAATCCACCTAACAGATCGGCTGTTGATCAAAGACGACGTGCCCATGAAAACCTCTCACCCTTCCCCAGACACAAGGTAATCAGCAGGTAACTGATGGATTTTCAAAGCTGCTCCTGCTGATGCTGACCTTGCCGTGTATCCTCACAACAGTCCTGGGCTGGGGTTAGCCGGGCAACCAGATGAAGGCACTGTGAGCTCTCTAGTCTGTCTTCACCTGGAACTAAGGGTGCTTGGTCTAGAAACTGAAAGCCAAAGAAATGTCCAAAGGGAACACAGTCTTTCCTGCACAGAGGATACAGGTGGCCCCATCCTGTTGTCTTAGATCTCCACCCACGATTTTCTCCTGGAAGGATGACACATGTTACAGCAAGTAAGATGACTTTGAGAAAAGACAGTCCAATTAACTTTGGCATTATGCTGGAGTAGATAGGGAGATATTCTAAAAAGTGATTGGTGATCGGAGAAGCTGGGGGCCGGCTAAGACCCCTTGGGTCCTTCTCACATTTTCTCTTCCTTCCTAGCATGATGGAAGGGGGAAGTGACAGCCTTGGGCAATGGTAGGGGTGTGCATGCAGGCGGGCCTGCTTTGAGCCCTTCCTGGTGTGGGGTCCAGAAGGCAGGAGGTACAGTCCAAACTCTCCAGACACTGGACCCCCAGAAAAATTCCCCCACCCCAGCAATGACAGCCGCACTTCACTGTTTCGTTTGGGTAATTTTGAGAAGGAAACCATCTTAACAAATAGCAGTGCTCCATGAGGCAGACAGGATCCCTTGCCTTGGGCAGTTTCACTCTGCTCTGATGCTTAGTCATCCAGGAAAATGGACATGGCTCCTGGGCCCAGGGGCTGAGCTCAGCCTCCCGTGTGGGGACGGGACGGGGCTGAGGCAGCTGAGCTTAGAGGAGACCAGTGGGGAACTTGCCTCCCCTAGCAGCGTCTGCGGGCATAGCCAAGGTGGAAGAGGTGGTGATGGGCTCGGGTGCTCTTCTTATTGGCCAGTGGCTCAGTGGTTGTGTCTCGGGGAGAAGGAAGCAGCTAGAGAAGCAGAGGGTGTGGAAGGGCGGCTTGGTCGTTGCAGGGCTGGGGCCAGGCAGGTTGGGGGGGCTTCTGGTGGCAAGATGGCACCGGTCAAGGACCAGCTGTCAGAGGGACGAGAGAGCCTTCCTCTGTGCCCTTCTTGTCCCAAGATGTTTTCCCCTTGTCTCCTACTCACAGCTCGGGACATGCCTTTGCTTCTACCATCATATCCTCGAGGCTCTGCGCCTGGGATCCAGCAAATCTGGGTTTGGATCCCAAAACTGTGGCTTATCCAACACAGAAGCTAACAAATCCTTGGCTTTCATATATAAAGAGAGCTTAATAATGCTCTCTCTCTCTCAGGTTTATTGCACGATTTAATCAACATCTGAAATCTTTAGCACAGGCTAGGGCATTGGCAGGCATGCAATAAAAGCGGCTGCCAATATTAGTATTATTAACAGTAATTACTAATTATGTCTTTGTAACCATTGGTAAGTCAGGCCATTTCAAAGTGAACACACTTCTCCTCAGTCATCCATCTTATGTGACTATTCCATGCGTATGCGCACACCCAGGGACATTCTGTGCTCTTGGGAGGACTCACTTCATCCAAGATGCTACTGATGATTCTACCACCTTGTCATGTCTGCAAAATTGCACAGATGCTCCCCTCTGAGAAGAGAAATCCAGCCCCAGCAACATTTGGGCCCTTGGTAGATGTGTGTTCACTGAAGAATGAACACATGGCACCACCCAACCCTGGGGACCTCGAGAACATTGCCACCAGGCTTGGAAGATAATGAGCTTTAGATTCTGAGACCCTATCAAAATAGGAGTTCTTTTACCATCACTCCCCATGAGACACAGATCAACAAGAAACTCCACCTCCCCACCAGCAATTCCAAAGGAGTCCTCTGGGTTTATGGGATAGGTGTATTTTCCAGGGTCTGGATGTTTTCTGTGATGACATTGATACGTGTTTGGGATGTCATTCCTTGCTCTGTGCTTTTATTTCTGCTGTCTGTAATTTCAACCCCATCGTATTTCTCTCCATGTGTGTCCCACAGGAAAGGCCAGATGTCAGGGCTCAGGTGCCAGTCCTATTGCTCAACATAGCTGAGGCCGGGGCTGAGCTGGGTCCTGAGGTAAGCGCAGCCTATTTGCTGCTTGGGTCTGGACAGAGAGGTGGCTTTGCGGAGGGTTTCCATGGCAGTGAACATGACCCTGCCCCCACATCCATGAGGTCCCTGGGCAAGCCGGCTCCACGCCTGCCTGCACCCCGGCCTCACCTGCAAAGCCCCATGACGCCACACAACCCAGCAGGTCAACCCAGCATCTGATGACCCCGGGCCCAAATTTCAGCCTGGCCAGTGCCACTGTCACGACTTTCTGCCGCGTGCATATGCCACGGATGCTAGTGCACTTTCTACCGTATTTCTTTCTCTAAATGGACTTCTGTCCAAATGAAGTACCTTTCTTTAAACAGGGTATTCTATATTTCAGCAGCAAACAAACAAACAAAAAAACAGTTTTACTGGTATGAAGAACAGAGAAGGAAGTGGAAAATAGCAATAATCGCGCCTCGGATAAACCTCATTGGCTACGATACTGCCACCGCGCAGAGCTAGGAAGTGGGAAATAGACACAACAGAAATAGAGCCCAATAATTCTGGGTAGAAAACGCCACCTGCCAAAGGCACAGGGTCTGTGAGGAAGGCAGAGATGGGAAAGCCATGCTGGTACCAGACGGAGACCTCCATCATTAGGAGTATGGATGAGGAGTCAGAAGGGGAATAATTTTCTCACCATGCAATTCAACGTCATTTAAGCCCGTGTTCCCAAACTGGTTAAACCCTCCCTTCTCTACGGGGTAGATGATCCCACTTCAAAAACAGTGAGTTAATCCAGGGCTGCCATAAATCATTGAGCAGGTGCCTGGCTGTGGGTGAGCAGGGGCAGGCCCAGCGGGCATTCCGTCCACCAATCCATGCTCCTGGGGGAGCACTGCCCTTTCTCCTGCACATGGACACTGTGTGAGCTGGGCTGGTGGTACTTCCTCCCTGACTGGTCTGTTAGCTCCCAGAAGCCAAAAGAATCGCTCCTGATAACACAAGAACAGCTCTGATTTACTGACCGTACCCTGGGGTGTGCACCCTGCAAGCACCATCTCACGGACACTTCACCAGAACCCCTGGGAGAGGGTAATTACCTTTCCCCGTCTACCGGGGAGGAAGCCAAGGTCTCTGGTTCCTATTTCTCCATGTGTCTCTGTGTTCCCTTCACTGCACCTCGCGGATAGAAATTGCACCTATGGTACCTGGTTAACTGTGCTACCATTTACACACCTTCCCTAAGTTAAGTTGTCACATGATTTATTGGGTAACCTGATATTTTAAAATCCATGCTGCAAAGCATGGACTATCTTTAACCATTGTTAAGATCCATTGCCAGCTTTTTTCTTTGAAATTTTGTTTCATTATTGAAGGGACTCATAAAATAATAGACACCCAAAGCAGAAATTGCTGACAGCCTCATCCCTAAATCTAGAGAGTTTCATTTGTCTGCGTCACTGGCTAGGTCTTATGCGTGCACATACTCGATGTTCGCGGATCTACGGCATTACAGATGGAACATTAGAGTCCCCGCCTACAGTCATGGCCGGCCACGTGCTCTGTTTCGAGAGTCTTCTCTTGCATCTGTCCACCTTCCCTCTTCCACTCCCATTCTCCCTCTCATCAAAATGCTAGCTTTTATGTGCATATGAGCACAGAGCAAGGGAAAGGTGTGGTAAGGACACATATCTTCTGAGTAAATCAGTGTCTCCCCCTAGGATCTACAGGACATGTTACCACCTGCAGCAAGAGCACTGGACAAGGAATACTTTGTCTCGGGGACTTCAGTGCATTACAGAAGTTCACTACCTGTTGTGGTAAGTCCCCTAATGATTGACAGTTGGTTCCCTTGAGGGGTGGCCCTTCTAGAAGATTCTGTGATACCAGTAGAACAAACACAAGTCAATGAAAACCTTCTCACTTATGTACCTAGCTAAGGTTATTGTTGGTTGTTAAAGAGTTGTTATTTGATAGTTCTGATCAAATATGATGCTTTTTAGAACACCCACAAATAAATACATTTTCTCATGTCCATCTGAGGGTACCTGAGATCATCTGTAAGGTTACAAGTGCATGGCTTTGGCCCCAATCAAATTTCAGCCCTCCTGCCAAATAAGCCCTAACATCCTCCTGCATCATGTCTTCATATACTCTATGACAAATTCTAGAACTATTGCTCTGATTTTTAAAATTATTTTTCTGGGGGTGACTGTCTGGCTCAGTTGGTAGAGCATGTGACTCTTGATCCTCGGGGTCATGAGTTCAATTCCCACATTGGGCATGGCTCTTATTTTAAATAGTAACATCTTTAAAAAAATGAAATGATTTTTCTGAAATAATTTGGCTCATAAGAAGTAAAAATAGGTCAGAGAGTTCCTGTGTACCCTTCACACAGCTTTCCCCGAGGATAACATAACCATAATACTTTATCAAAACTAGAAAACTGACTTTGGTGTAACACTATTAATAGAGGTCTCAAATACAGACCTTA